CAAGGAAAAAAAAAACCTCCATACTTGAGGTGATAATAGGGTGGTTTCAATTTGTTTATAGAGCGAATAAAGGTAAAACAACCCTACATTAAAAATATTGTTTCAATTGAAAAAAATACAAGAGAGGATTGCTAACTCTTAAGTATGTTAGCTACTCGAAATAGGAGGCTACAATAGTTGGCTAGTTCTATGATTTTCAGGCGTGAGGTCATGGTCGAATCTCATCAAACTTATTCTACGAGGGATTTTCCTAGAATCCCCCCTTTCTAGGGTAAGCCTTCTTCTTACCATTTCTTCTCCTTACCATTTTTTTTTTTTTAAAAAAAAAAAAAAAAAAGTATAGTGAATTGCTCTATCCATTATCAATTAATTTAATATGGTACGTACATACGAAGAATAGGTTTATTTTTAGCCCATTATCAAAGGAAGAGGATGGCGAACATTTGAAAATCTCTTTGGTGACAAGAGTAGAGGGACTATTACCCGCATGTTACAACTATGTAATTAGTCTATAGTCCGGTGTGTTGTTAATTTAGTTAAATAATCTATCATATTAGACAAACAAACATAGAACTTGTAAAGCTAACATCAATTTTTTGTGACCTCTTGAACAATTGAATCAAACCCAACAGTTTGAAAAATTCAACAATATACAGTTGTTCATCAAAACATGAGGACACAGTACGTATTCTTGATTGTTCCTACTTATTTAGAGGTCAATTCAAACTTTTCATAATATCTCGTAGAATGAATTGAATTTCTGGCTTAGAAACTCCAATCAATCTAAGCCACAATATGAAACGAGGAAAATTCCTCAACTTACTCGGAAAGTCAATCTAACTAAGAGAAGCTTTTTTATTTTTGGAAACCATTTTATTTGAACTAGCTTAGTTATTAATTATGTTTACTGCCACTATAATTTTTAAACACTTTTTTAGAACAATCAACTAGATTAGTTCCCATTTGATGCACGGTAATAATAATCTTTTATCCCATAATTAATTTGTGATATAATATAAAAATGAGGCAACTCATGTGGAATAAACAAATGTATGCTCATAAAAAAGATGAAACAATAAGGCAAAAAAAATATTAAAACTACATTTGAGAAGAAGATATATTATTTTTTATTAGTTGTGTTGAAAATATTTTTAAATCATATACACTAGATGGAAGCCCATGCGATGCACGGTTTTTTCATCTAAAATTTTTAATTATTTGATTTATTGTATTTAATAATTTCAAACAAAATTACCAAAGTTTAATATTTATTTATTTTTACTATAATTTATAATGAATTTATTAAATATAAATAAATTGTAAATATGATATTTTTTCTGTTATATAAAATCTTTAATGTGAAATGATAAATTTTTAATTTAAATCCTAAATCATTATTCATTGTTTTACCATATCTTTTATTTCGATAGAATCACCAACTTCGTCCACAACCAACCTATTGCATCAATGGATAAATTGATCCGTAAAATGTTAGCCAAACTGAAATTGATATAAATTAAATCTTTACATTTATATAAAATAAATCAATATATTTACAAAAATTGTTGCGATATAAAATCAAATCTATGCATTGGAATTTTTTCATCATCTCCAAAAATAACCAAAGCCATCCATATATTAAGTATACAACATCTAATCGTATGCCATTACATAAACAAATAATCGTTAAGTATTCTAAATAAACACAATGTAACTAATAATTACAAATATAAATTTAAACATAAGAATTTAAAAATTACCCGGACATCGATGACCTAAAACTAATACAAAATTTGCTTGATGGAGTTTTGTATTGATATGAAATTTTATTTGTGTCGTATGATGTGTTAGATCTGCATGTAAAAAAACATTTAGTAAATAAAACATAAACATATAATCGTTGAGTATTCCAAATTAATACAATGTAAGTAATAATTAGAAATACTAATTAACACAAAATTTTATTTGTTTGTGTCGTATGATGTGTCAATTTAAAATGGTAAGTATCACAAATTTTAATTTAATTAACGAACAATTTGTATTTCTTATCATAAATACTATCAAAATTTATATTATAATGATTGGTATCAAACTTTATTATAAGCGTTTATCATTTAAGTATTTCTTAGTATATTTTTTTTGGATTTCTTATACCCGTAGTATTGAATTAATAAATTTATCTTTTCCTATTTTTTTACTTTATTTTTTTTCATTAAAATAATTTAATTCGTGGATTATAATCTACGTGACTTTAAAATTTTAGATATATCAAATCTAATTCGTTACTTTTATCTAGGTGGCAACATAATTTTTTAGTTCAAAAATAAAATACAAATCTTTCTTCTTATTGGTCGAAATAAGTATATTTCTTATGTGGCGCTCCGAATGTTCTCAAAAAATGCCTACTTTATATTTTTTATTTACTTTATTTTTTTCATTAAAATAATCAACCTACTACATCAATGGATAAATTGAACCGAGAAATGTTAGCCAAACTGAAATTGATATAAATTAAATCCTTACATTTATATAAAATAAATCAATATATTTACCAATAAATGAAAAATTTTTGCGATATAAAATAAAATCTATGCATTGGAATTTTTTCATCATATCCAAAAATAACCAAAGTCATCCATATATTAAGTATACAACATCTAATCGTATGCCATTACATAAACAAATAATCGTTAAGTATCCTAAATAAATACAATGTAACTAATACTTACAAATATAAATTTAAACATAAGATTTTAAAAATTACCCAGACATTAATGACCTAAAACAAACAAAAAATAAATCACAAAAAATTCGTTTGATGGGGTTTTGTATTGATACGAAATTTTATTTGTGTCGTATGATGTGTTAGATTTGCATGTAAAAAATATTTAGTAAACAAAACATAAACATATAATCGTTGAGTATCCCAGATTAATACAATGTAGGTAATAATTAGAAATACTAATTTAAACATAGAATTTAAAAATTAAGCTAAAAATTACCCGGCCATTGATGACCAAAGATTAACACAAAATTACTAACACAAAATTCGCTTGATGGAGTTTTTTTATTGATACGTTATTTTGTTTGTGTCGTATGATGTGTCAATTTATAATGGTAGGTATCACAAATTTTAATTTAATTATAATTAACGAACAATTTGTATTTCTTATCATAAATAATATCAAAAATTATCTAATAAAACCTACTTTATTATAAGCGTTTATCATTTAAATATTTTTTATTATATATTTTTTTTGGATATCTTATACTCGTAGTATTGAATTAATAAATTTATCTTTTCCTATATTTTTACTTTATTTTTTTCATTAAAATAATTTAATTCGTGGATTATAATCTACGTGGCATTAAAATTTTAGATATATCAAATCTAATTCGTTACTTTTATCTAGGTGGCGACATAATTTTTTAATTTAAAAATAAAATACAAATCTTTCTTCTTATTGGTCGAAATAAGTATATTTCTTACGTGACGCTCCGAATGCTCTCCAAAAATGCCTACTTTATTTATATATATTAGATTTTATTACATTAATGATGCATGTTATTCCCAATAAAACTAATGTTGTAAGACTTTTTATTAATGAATTAATTTAGTTCCAAAAAACAAAAAAAATATTGTACAATGTATACATTGAATGTTAATATTGTATTTTTGGCTAAGTACGTACTTCCAAAAAATAAGCTAAGTAGAATTATTTTTGTAAAAAAAAAAAACTTAAAATTGACATCATATATTGTATTGGCGGGAGATTTTTTAATGATAGCTTGACATATGTCCAAAATGATCAATGTAAGCATGACCTGTTTTAGTGATAGTTAATAGATTTTTTGAAGGAAAAAAAAAAGTTATAAGTTGGTAAAATTATTACAAAAAATATTTAACAAAAACTAACTCAATTATTATTATTTCATAAGATTTCAAATCAACACCATGACTAGATTTTTTTTTCCCATTGAACCCCATTATTGTATTTTTGGCTCCGTTATTTAATACTCTCCACCATATGTCAACCTTCTAAATTATAGCTTATTCTCCCTTAATATTTTTTTTTTTTTTTTTTTTTGTGTGTGTGTGTGAATAGATTATCCTTCCTTGATAAAAAGGTGTCAAAACCTTGTGAAACTATTTTAAGTAAATAGAACACGAAATAAAAGAGATACAATTATTATAAAGATAATATATAAGATTAATATATTATTACAATTGTATAATAATACAAATATTCCAAAAATTAAAGATTTTTACTAAAAAATGAGGGGAGAGTTTGGAGGGAAAAAAATAGAACTAGAAAGTGACACGTCTTATTCATGGTGTCAGTTTTAGTATTATGTTATTGATTCGAGATATTTAAAGCACAACTTTTTGTAAGAAAGTTTTTAAACAATCCAACAATATAATGAGAAATGGATACAAGAAGCAAGAATTATAAGAACACATAGATTTAGTGGAAATTGAGAAATGACCGATCAACCAATATTCATCATAGAATGAAATTTACTTGAAAATTTCACCATTTTAATATCTATAACATCCATTTCATAAGAATATACCCGTACCTCACACACTCATCGTAGAAGTAGCAATATTCACTATAAAATAGGTTGGGTTGATATGTTAATACTTCGAAAATATTATAGCAATTTTGTACGATTGATCTTCATATTAGATAATATACTAGTCATACTACAGTACTCCGCACATAAAAAATAAGCTTGTACTAATTTTAATGACCAACACTTATTGCATCCGTTCATTAATTACGAAATCATCAAATTTAAATCATGTGGTACTTAATGTGTCATTTTCACTAATTTCTCAATATTTACCATGTAAAAAATTTACAAAAATCAGTAATGAAAATAATTTATAGCTGTTCATTTTGGTTTCTCAATCTCATCTATTTCATCCCCCTTTCCCTTTCCTTTCTCAATTTTATCATATTTCTCCATCCTCTAATCATTTCTCGGACCATGAATTAAACCTAGTTATTTTAATATTTGAGACACTTTGAGTATAAATCATAAATTTATAATACTTGAATTTGAACTGTGCTTCTTTCTTCCTAAATTTGGAATTTCTTTACCCCTTCTTTTTTCTTAATTTGGTAATATAGACTTTAAAATAGATGAAAACAAATACCACAATAGTGTAAAAATCAATCGATTTCCGAACATATTTTCCCTACCTAAAAACATGATTCATGTTTAAGAAAAAAAACATTACCAATTAGTACTAAATGGCCCACCGATATTGTATCATGTATGTATTAATGCAATTTTTGACAAGACAGAATACTAAGGTTATATCTCCTATAAATCAACGCCATAAAATGAATTTTCCTTATCTTTCATTCCTCAACAAACAACTCTACATTATCAACTCTATCAAGAGAAAAGCACAAAAAAAAAAAAAAAAAAAAAAAAAAAGTTAGAAAAAATGGAGGATTACACTCCTAATTTGCAGTTAATTCTGCTAGTTATTTTAGCTATATCTCTGATTACTACACTGGCTAAATACCATTATACTCGAAAATCGAGAAAAAGTATAAACAAGCACAAGATTAGCAAGCAACTTCCTCAACCAGCAGGGGCATTGCCCTTCATAGGCCACTTACATCTTCTAGGTGGCAAAAGAACCATAGCCCGGACCCTTGGAGCCATGGCTGACGAATGTGGGCCGATCTTTTCCCTCCGCCTCGGCCAACAGCGGGCAGTAGTCCTGAATTCCTGGGAGATGGTGAAAGATTGTTTACTCAACAATGATGCTGTCACTGCAACACGGCCTACTATGGCTTTGAGTAAGCACTTAGCTTACAACTATGCATCATTTGCTATCTCTCCTTACGGTAAATACTGGCGTGATATGAGAAAGATAGCAACTGTTGAGCTTTTCTCGACAAAGAGGCTCGAGAAGATGAAGCGTGCTCGAGTTTCAGAGATAAACTCCTGCATCAAACATCTGTTTAAGGAATGCAGAGAGGTTGTAGACAGCAAGTATCAATCTGGCAGGATCTCGCTATGTAAGTGGTTCGAGTATACAAGTTTTAATATTGCTATTCGTATGATAGTTGGTAAGACATTTTCTCCTCAATCATACGAAGAAAGTAGCACCTTTGCTTCGCGATTCAAGAAGTTAATAGGCAAAGCTACATACGTTGCTGGGGTGGCCGTGCCCTCGGATTTCATACCGTCTATTGAATGGATGGATGTGATGGGGTACATTAGCTCTATGAAAGATATTCACAAGGAAATAGACATGATTATTGGACATTGGCTTGATGAGCATATCCAAAGAAGGAAAGATTACAAAGGTAGCTATGAAGATGTTGATTTCATGGATGTAATGCTATCGAACCTCGCCGAGGGCACTATGATTTCCGGCTACACTAGGGAGACTGTCATCAAAGCAACAGCACTGGTATTTTCTAATCCATATATAACAATTTTTGATGTTTAGGATTCTAGACCATTCTAGACTACTCAGTATATTCAATTAGCTTAACAATAGTTCCCAGTCAATCGACCCATAATAAGAAGGCTTGACTGCTAAGTTTAATCAACTTACCAGGGCCAATCCTAGTCAATCGACCCATAATAAGTAGCAACGCTATATTTTCAAGTGTAAAAAGAGCCACAAATGTCAATAATACATATGAGATTAAATCTAATCCCCTAGGTCTTTATCAATTACGTTACCTGTCATCCGCCTCTTAATTTACCAAAAAAATTAGTACTATATCTTTTGCATCCAATAGGACATTATACATTGAGTGCATGACTTTCTTTCCTAAGTTTCAGCATATAATGATCTGTTCTTTGACATAAGTTCAAACAAAATTCATGTGTTGACTTTATTAAATTATTTAATAATGCAGATACTACTATTAACGGGGTCTGAAAGCACCTCCATCACACTAATATGGGCCATCTCCCTACTATTGAATCACCCAAAGGCCCTAAAAGCAGCCCAAGAAGAACTAGACCAACAAGTTGGAAAACAAAGATGGGTAGAGGAATCAGACATCCCAAGCCTACCATACTTGCAAGCCATTATCAAGGAAACACTTCGTATGTACCCGCCAAGCCCATTGGCCGGCCCACGAGAGGCGTTGGAAGATTGCCACATAGGCGGCCACCTCGTCTCAAAAGGGACCCGCGTAGTTGTCAACATTTGGAAGGTGCACCGGGATCCAAGGATATGGACCGGGCCAGACGAGTTTCGGCCCGAAAGGTTCTTTGATGAGCATGGTAATATTGATTTTAGGGGGCAGAGTTATGAGTACATCCCTTTTTCCGCAGGAAGGAGGGCCTGTCCTGGGATGAACTTTGGGTTGCTAGTGGTTCAACTATCGCTGGCTCGTTTGGTCCAAGGATTTGATTTATTGACTGAGGACGGTGCCCCGGTCAATATGTCAGAAGGCTTGGGCCTGGCTATGCCCAAGGCAACCCCGTTGAATGCCATCCTTGCAACTCGTTTGCCTTCGGAGTTGTATGATGTCCTGTAAAAGGTGCATTTACCAGCATTTTACACATAATATGCGATAAAGCTTCCTATGGCTATATCTACCGTCATCAATAAGCTATATTCAAATAAATTGGTAGGTGCAAGTGTGAGTAGTGTTTGTGTCACATTGAAAAAGAAAGTAACATGCTTTCAGTTTATAACCCAAGCAAGCTACTACTCATATTGCCAATTAGTTTTAGAATGGAACCTTGCTATGGGCTCTGATTTGTAGACTTTTGGACTTCTCTCCCTTGTGTAAACTCCCATCTGTTATAACATAAATACTTCTATCCTCCTTTTCATTATGCGTTTTCCTATGATATAGCGAAGGTTTAATTGAAAGAGCTACACATAGCTAGTGTACACAAGGGCTTTATGTGCATCGTTCCTTTCAATATGCTTCAGTCCTAGACAAATTAAGAATGCGTTCGATTCACCTAAACTTTATTGAATTGGACTTACCTTATTAACATTTAAACTTATTTAAATTGTAAATTGAACTCAATTAACTAACATTAGAACTTATTAAATTTCAGATTTTGTTAGATTTGTTGTAATGAACATAGCGTTAATACACACTTCCTCAATTCCATATTACTTACAATACAACATTAGCACACATTTTAAGATAAATATTTAAGGGTGTAAACAATCAAATTATTCAAAAATAACTTTAACACCAGTAACATATAAATTCTATCTTGTATTTCAATTATTTTGAATGATTTGCTCATTTACCCCCTCAAATCTCTTCTTTACAATGCGCCTCAAAATGCTAAGATGTAAGTAGAGTGGAACGGTGAAAATATTTACTGTAATTTCATGTATAAAAAGTGCCTATTAATAAAAATTTAATGCCGTCTCATTCGACAATTTTTTTCCTTAAAAATTAATGTTAAAATTAAGTCAAATTTGAGAAACAAATACTCCCAAGTAAACTTACTATTGTACTAAGAGAGTCATTACCCCAGCAATTGAGAGGCATCCGATAGAAAGAAAATATATGCCAAACTTATATCCGAAAGCTAAGAGGAGAATCCGCTATTTTTTAATAAGTCCAGAGGGAAGGAGTTTCAAGACTTTCAACAGCAAATAAGCCATTATTTGGTAGGCACTACCCAAAGCATCTTGGGTATTAGGCACTCCGCATATCAAATTAGACTAGGAGTAACAAATCAAATGGCATCATGTGAATTGAACAAATGAAAATAGTGGTTTTTTTAAAAAAAAAAACAAAAATTAAAATAAAATTATTGCAAACCTTAGGTCTCTAGGATCTAAGATAAGTCTCTTAGCAAGTGAGACAACACTTTATTGGTAATTATACTTCCTCATTTTTTTAGATGCATCACTTTTCTTTTATGGGTGTTTTTTTTTAAATGCATCACTTCCTTATTTGGTAACTTTATAATATATTTTATCATTTCTCTCTCTTATTTTAAACCCCACTTAAATTATTTTATCATTTTTCTCTCCTTCATGGTCCCACTTATATAATAAAAATATTTACTATCCCTCACATTCTTTCTCTTTCATGGTTTTCATCTAACTTTTACTATAATAAATTATTCACCCACTCACAATATATATTACTCTCCTAAAACTTGGTGATGCAAATAAAAAAAAAAAAACCGGAGGGAGTATATCGGTAGGCATGAATATGATAAGAATGCAAATTGATAACAGTAACAATACATTTTTATATATTATTATACTTTCTCTATAATTTTATTATTGCAATATATGGATTGGGAACAAAATTTTTAGTAGCGGAAAAAAGGATGAGAGAGAAAAGTAAAAATACAAAATTGTCCATGTAATTGTGTTCATAAACTAGAGGTGATCAAGTATGGTCCGACCCGATCCAACCCGAAAAATGGGCAAGTTTGGCAAGACTAAGAACGTAATTTTAGTTAAAAACCCGAACCCAGCTTGAAAAAGCCCGATATTTTTTTATGGGTTTGGACATAAGATTTCATACTAAGACCCGGTCTGCCCTGAATTTTGATCATCTCTAACATAAACTAAAAAATAAAGTGTTGAAAAAAAGGGTATATTAGTTATTTGTGGTGTGAACATAGATATTTCTTTCCTTAAAATTGATATTGTGCAATATTTGTGAAACTTCCTTAATAGTGTTTGTTTGGATTGAAGAAAATAGAGGAAAAGGAAGGGAAGGGAAGGAAAATGGAGAGATAGGGTATCTTTCATTTGGATAAAAAATGAGGAAGAAAGAGAATTAAACGGGAGAGAAATAGAGGAATTAATCCCTCTAACAATAGATAAATTTGGACGGAAAATTTATGTAAAAAACAAGTGGTGCAATATTTAGAAAAAAAAAAAAAAATCTTCATTACTCCGTATTTTACTGACTAACAAATCATTCATGAACTCATGTTGTAAAAGCATCGTGGCAGAATTGATGCCACTGGACTTGCTGCAGAATTGATGCATGTAATACAGCCATGCGCAATTCATTGAACTCATATGCCAAAAGAAATATTAAAAATAAAAAACTATTAGACTCACCGTTGGTTTCAATGAGGTGGGGTAAAGTAGCATTAATACACAAAAGAACAGTGATGATCTAATGTAAACTTATCCTTGGAAGTTTTATGAAATTAAGCTTATTTCACAAACTAATTTTTAAAATAGACGCGTAGTTAAACTATTTACCAAATTAAGATTATGAGATAAAACGTTGCTTTGACCTTTTTTTTTTTTTTTTTTTTTTTAATTTTGTAATTTCTGATTAAAAAAAAAAAAAAAACTAAAAACGCTGCCTCTTATAAACAAAAAAGAAAAAAAAATATATTAAACGCATAAAACGCTGACTAAGGAGAAGCATATGCATTTTGTTAAAGAAAAAAAAATTAATGTATTGCTGAGCATCAACTGTTTCCATTATATCATGAATTGATTTTGTTAAACTCAAAACAGCAATCAAAGCATATGTATTTTTTGTATATTGCAATCATGTGAATATGGACTTAAATACAAAGAGGAGAAGAAGATAGGAAGCAACAATCGTATCCCAGCCCGACCGCAATATTCAGATACGATATGATAATTATCACATATTGATAATTATCCACCCAAATAATACAATTATTATCAGATATGGTTAATTATCCACCCCAAAGAATACAATCATTATCATAATAACATAATTATCCTAACAGATTTTTTGTTATGCAATGGTGTATAATTTTTTTTTTAAATCAAAATTTACAAAAAAAAAATAAATCAAATACATTATAAACACTGCCTCAGACAGCGTTTATAGTGTATTTTTTTTAAAAATCAGAAATTACAAAAAATCAAATACACTCTTAACCTCAGACAGCGTTTATAGTGTATAATTTAATTTAATTTTTAAATCAGAAATTACGAATTTTTTTTTAAAAAATAAATCAAATACACTCTTAACTTCAAACAGCGTTTTACACATTGAATATTTTTTATTTTATTTTATTTTTTTTAAAAAAAAATCAGGGGTAAAACGACTATCTGAGTCGGCGTTTTATCCCAGAAGTTTAGTTTGGTAAATAATTTGACCACGCGTCTATTTTAAAAATTAGTTTGTGAAATAAGCTTAGTTTGATAAAAACTTCCCAAAATTTCCACATTCCACCTAACCAGTAACCACCACCAAATCGTTCACAACATGAACGTACACTCGAGTTTAACAGCTGATATTTATTCTAATTTTAGGTCATTTCAAAGTAATTTCCGACATATTTAGTGGACGTGTTAGGTAGCAAAGATAGTTAGAAACTTAGAATACTTCTTTTATCTCTGATTCCTCTTTCAACTCTCTCAACGTCACAACACACGAAACACCAGTTTCGAAAAAGATGGAAAGCAAACTTCACATCGTAATGTTTCCATGGTTTGCGTATGGTCATATAAACCCATTCATCCAGCTCTCTAACAAGCTATCCTCCCATGGCATCCAAATCTCCTCCTTTTCGATACCCGGAAACATCGACCGTATCGAATCCTCCCTTAATACCAATCCTCTCAACCAAGTCATCCCCCTCACTATCCCTCAACTGAAGGACTTTCCTCCGACTTTGACAGCAGCTCTGACATAACACCAGAAACTGCTGAACTCCTCAAAGTAGCACTTGATCAAATGCAACCCCAAGTCAGAACCCTCTTATCTCAACTCCAACCCCACATTATCCTCTTTGATTTTGCACATTACTGGCTTCCCTCAATTGCCTATGAACTAGGCATCAAGGCTGTCAATTACAGCGTATTCTCGGCCGTTGCGAATTCATATCTAACTGTCCCAGCAAGAATCAGTGATCCAAACAAACAACCCGCTGTTGATGACTTAAAGCACCCTCTTCCAGGGTTCCCTAAAACCCCAATCACATCAGTGAAAACCTTCCAAGCTCGAGACTTCCTATACCTTTTCAAGAGTTTCAATGGCTTACCTTCCGGTTTCAATAGAATATTGAGCTTTATAAAATCATGTGATGCTATAATCTATAAAACCTGCACTGAAATAGAAGGTCCGTACATCGATTTCTTGAAAACCCAGATAGGAAAACCAATGCTTTTAGCAGGATCAGCTGTTCCTCCACCACCTTCTGGTAAACTAGAAGAAAAATGGGAAACATGGTTGGGTAAATACCCTGAGCAATCAGTCATATTTTGTAATTTCGGAAGCGAAACATACTTGAATAATGAGCAGATTCAGGAGCTTGCACTTGGGTTGGAGCTCACTGGTCTACCCTTTTTCCTGGTTCTGAATTTCGGAACCGGTAGCGTTGACGCTCAGAATAAGCTAGAAGCATCACTACCAGAAGGATTTAGAGAAAGAATCAAAGACAGGGGAGTAGTGCATACAGGGTGGGTGCAACAGCAGCACATTTTAGCACACAAAAGTGTAGGATGCTATCTTAATCACTCAGGGTTTAGCTCTGTAATAGAGGGTATTGTGAATGATTGTCAGCTAGCATTTGTGCCTCAAAAGGGTGATCAATTCCTAAATTCTAAGATGTTTAGTGGGGATCTTAAAGTTGGGGTGGAGGTAAATAGAAGAGATGAAGATGGGTTTTTCGGAAAAGAGGACATCTTGGAAGCAATTAAGACAGTCATGGTGGATACTGATAAAGAACCAAGCAAATCCATCAGAAAGAATCACAGAAATTGGAAAAAGTTTTTCTTAGACAAGGACATTGAAACTAAATATATTGCAATTTAGTCAAGGAGTTAGAAGCATTGGCTCGAAAAGCTTGATCATGGCTTCTGAAGGTCAATAAGTTAGAGTTCTGGGAAATAATAAAACATTCTGCATTTAGATTCATGTTTTTATTATGAGATGATATATTCTTGCCATTTTTTCTTCTCTTATAAGCATTATTGTATTTTTGTTATGTACAATATATTGGTTGTTGTTTCATTATGATGAAATGTTCTCATTTTTTTTTCTTATGCAATATTGTACTCTGTTGTGCTTATATGAGTATCGCCTCCTAAATGTTTGTTCAAACTCGAATAATTTCATGACCTTCTAGCACAAGTTAAGGCTTTATGATCCAAGTTTCCAGCAAGACTTCCAATAGGCTTACATCTTTTGTTCACTAAATCAAGGAAACTCCATTAGTAAAAGTTGGAGTTCATCGTATTCATTGGTTGACAAAGGCAGTCTAAACACTACTTACACTTCTTTTTTTTTTTTTTTTCAATATTTCAGAAAGGGAAAAGACCATGATTCAATCCTAAAGGATTTTTTTTTTTTTTTTTTTTTTTTTTTTTTTAACTTGGGAATATGAGGAAAGATAAGAGATTCACCGACATTAACAAGATTCGAACTCCAAACTTCTCAGATCCGACCAAATGATGGTAAATACTGCTTACACATAGGTGTATGGTATATGTGCACCGTAATCAAACAAATACTCTACTAGATCTTACAATTCAACAAACCCCTGTCCCACTACACAGTAGTACAATACAATAGCTGCTCCCCATAGTCAATGAAAAGGACGTATTCACTGAAGCCATCAACATGGCACTTATTAGCAGGGAGAAATATTAGATGCATAGACAAGCTCGGTCTGAACAATTTTAGCAAATCAATCTAAATCATTTCCTATAATCCTGTTAGAGAGGATGACATAAATCTTATTCCATACTTAGAATTACAAACCAGAAAGATAAAATCGAGTCAAAAAATTAAATTAGATCTGCATGCTCTATGAATTTCTTCTATTTATATTTAACAGAATATAGAATGCACATCTTTAACCATTAACATCCTTGATTCTATATAAATTAAAATCACAAAAAGTTGATACCAAGAAAATTAGAATTGAAATAAATCTAATAAGATCTCACTAGACAATGAAAATCACCAAAGACGATTAGAACTTTCAAACTCCTGAATAACAAGTTGGAAGAACTTCTAAGAATGTACTCCGTAGGGAATAACTCAAATCATATGCTAGGTAATAATAGAACTAAAGCATTACATAATTCTAGTTGAACCACGTCAATCAACCCCCCAACCACCATTCAATACAACAACCCTTCTTCAGCCCCCTTTCTGTTTTAGCCACATGTTAGTCTACCAACCACTGTGGTCTGTGTCCCAAGAGTCGTTGTCCAACCTTAAATAGTAGGATGCTGACTGAAGTTAATACAAATATCTATTGTAAGGTCCCCAAATCATTATGATGGTAGATACACTTAGTGACTAACCCTAATTTAACCCACTCACTCCGTCTTTATTTGTTTGCTCCATTATAAAAGGGGTTATTAAAGGCCACAATGGAGTTACTAATGCCGTGGTATTAATTAACCTCTCCACCCTTATAAATTTAATCTTTACCCTCACCCAATTTTCTCACCACCCATGCCCTCTCCACCACCATAAAACCTTAAACACCATAGGCACACTACTGTGAATCCGTCCTCCGACCTACACCACCAATTTCGCTGGAAAACACCTATAGCATCACCAATTGCACCAATTCTGCCGGAACCAGCCACCTGTCGCACCAATTCTGCCAGAATCAGCCACCTATCGCACCAAATCTGCCGGAAAAAACAATAGGTGGACGACAATGGAATCGCGGCGTGGGAAGGTGGTTCGTTTGCCGGGAAACCTAGGGAAATCGCCGGCGAATTCGACTGTAAGTTTTTTTTTTTTTTTTTAAACTTGTTGAGTCGCATTTAATATGCAACCTTGCAGTGGTTGAGTCGCATATTACATGCGGCAGAGTCACGGTGAACCCGCATATAACATGCGACTCAACCACGACGTAGTCGCATGCAATACTCCACCACGGCGTAGTTGCATATCACATGCGACTACTCCACGGTGTAGTCGCATATTACTGGCAATTATGGTTATTATTTTTTTAAAGTTTCGAATTATGGTTATTATTTTTTTTTAAATTTCGGATTATGGTTATTATTTTTATTTTTTTTAATTTCGAATTCGAATTTAAATTTATGGTTATTTTTTTAAAAAAATATAATTAATAATATAATTTTGATTTACGAATAGTAATAACTATTTAATAATAATTAATAATTGTAATGTAAGTTATTTGTAAATTTAATTTTTGTTATTAATATGTACTTATTGTTACGTTATTTGCAAATATAATTTTTGTTACTAATTCGTAAATTTTGTTTTGGCATTTGCTTTTAATTTGTATATATTTAGGATTATTAATATTGTTTTAAAAAAAATGAGTTCAATAATATATTGTTTAATAGTAATAATAACTGCAATGATAATAATTATTATTAGAATTATGAATATAATAATCGGAAATTTTATTATTAGAATTATGAATATAATAATCGGAAATTTTATTATTATATTAAATAGCGATCAGGTGCAAAATCAATTGCGGCGACTGATGTGTTGACTGACTCAGGCCGCGACACACTCGAGCTCGAAACATCGATGCCTCTGTTAGGAGAGAGAAGGATGTTGCACGATTGGGAAAGACTGTTGTTCACTGTGCTTCTGATGATGCATCTGTTCCTTTTGACAACGATCCTGATGACGGACGAGCTAGCGAGTCTGAGGAGATGGCGACAGAGGAGTTTGAGGGTTATTTTCATCAGAGTGGTGGGCATGATGACACATCAGGTGTAGTAGTAGCTAGAAGGGGTAGTGATGGTAGGTTTGTCACTTCTGATACCGGGAGCACCATTAGTAGACAAGTTGATGATGATTCGAACAAGTGTAGTAGTACCAAGAAGGAGGGTTTGTCTGATGCTCAATTGAGAGCTTTTCGTCAGCGGTTAGACAAGTTTGATTCAAACATGGTAAATTCTAACTTTCTGACATGTTTTCATCAAACAACTATTAATGAGACTTTATTCATGTATTTACTTCATTTCTTGCAAGTTGTTTGGCTACCTTATGGTACAGTGCCAGCCTCAGATGTTCCTAGGACTGTATTTACTGGATGGCTTCGTTATCAAGATGTCATTGAGCCGTACATGCCAAATCGTGTCTTACGCCAGTTTGGTTATGTACAAACGTTTCCTATGCCTATTAACTGCCTAGATTTTGCGTACAGGCCTGCAGATTCGAAATTGTATAAAGTTAAGTGGAATGTCTCGAGTGTAGAGAATGCTTGGACCTTGTATCCTAGAGATTTCTGGTTGATTCTTGCAGAGTTCCAGCGTGCTCAACATTCCTCTGATGTTGCAGATGGGTATTATGATTGGTTCACTGACGTTTCACATATCTTTGTTGTTCCAGCAGCGGATGCGGTGTTCCCTGCAATTCCTGATAGGACACTCCACTACAAGCACTACTAGAAATAGGTCGATTTCCGACGGACATGAATTTCCGTCGGAAAAATTAGAAATTCTGACGATTTTTTTATTCCGTAGGAAATTTCCGACGGAATATTTATCCGTACAAAAATAAAGGATTTCTGACGGATTATTCCGCCGGAACGATAAACTTCCAACGAAAATAAAATCCGTCGGAATCTTCCGACGGATTTTTCCATCGGAATCTTCCGACGGATTTTTCCATCGGAACTTCAAACTTCCTACGGAAATAAAATTCGTCGTAAATTTCCGTCGGAACATAGTGGTTCCTACGGAATATTCCAACGGAATTCAGGTTACCCTAAAAAAAAAAAAAAAACCTACATTTAAAACCCGGATTTCTCACTCCTCCATTTCTATTTCGTCGTTTTTTCTCCTTCTACCTCCTTCACCTTCCTTCCTATTTTCTCACTCCTCCATTCCTATTCCTATCTTCTGGTTTCTACTTCTCCCTCCTCCCTCCTCTCCTCTCGTCTCCTCACTCCTCTCCTCACCCTTCTCCCTCCTCTCATCTCCTCGCCCTTCTCCCTCCTCTCCTCCCACCGCCAGCACGTACCGTGCTCACCGTACACCACCACCAACACTACCGTGCTCATCGTACACCACCACCACTCTCATTCAAACCACCACCAGCACCGTGCTCACCCGACACCTCCACCAGCACCGTGCTCACCGTACACCACCACCACTCTCATTCAAAGTTAATGGTTTTTTTGTTATTTTCATGGTCGAGTTTGACCATTTAAACCCAATAAAGATGAAATTTCAAAAGGTATGTTTATTTTTATTTAGTATTGTGAGTTAATTTTGATTTCGTGGGTTTATTTGTGATTTGGTTTTTTTTTGGCTTTTCGTTTCAATTTCTGATTTTTTTGGCCGATTTTCATTTTGTATATTAAATTTTTCTGTTTGAGTATTAGATCTGTTTTTTGTTTTTTTTTTGGATTTTGATTTTGTATTATTCAATTTGCTTATTAGATCTGTTTCCGTTTTTTTGTTTATTTTTTATTTTTTTTATGAATTTTTGTTTTTTTTATTCTTGGTGGCGGTGGTCTGGGTGGGTGTAGTGGCTGTCCGAATATGGTTTAGGTGGAGGTGGTTGGGTGGTGTGGGGCTAGGCGTGGTGTGAGTGTGGGTGGGTTGGAGGTGGTTAGGCGTGGTGGTGGGTGTGGGTGTGGGCATGGGTGGGTTAGGAGGTTGGTTAAGTGGAGAAGTGGTGGCAGAACTAGGTGGGGATGGTGGCTGGACGTGGTGGGGGTGGTGGGTGGGGATTTTTTATTTTTATTTTTTACTATTAAATTTTCCGACGGAAATTTCCGTCGGAAGGAGAATATTCCGACGGAAAATTCCGTCGGAAGCTTGGCTTGTTACGACGGAATTTTCCGTCAGAATATAACTCATACCGACGGAAAATGTTCTGTCGGAACATTGCGACGGACTTCCCAATTAAGTCAAACTTGACTCCGACATGACAAAATCCGTCGGAAATTCCGTCGAAATGGACCTTTCCGACGGAATTTCCCTCGGAATATCGCGAAATTCCTACAAAAGGTAATACGACGGTGCCTTCCGACGGAATTCCGTCAGAAATGGGCATTTCCGACGGAATTTCAGGGTTTTCCGACGGATTTTTTCCGTCGTTGATTGGATGTTTTCTAGTAGTGAAGAAAACAGCTTGATTGCGACGGAAAAAATCCGTCGGAATCATCGGAAATTTCGTCGAAAAATGGTCTTCCGTCGGAATTAGTCTGTCGCAAAACACTTTGTAGGAAATTCGACCTTTTCGTCGGAAGGCTAGTTTCCGACGGATTTTTTTCTGTTGGCGCTGTTTTTGCTTTTTATCGAGAGTCCGTCGCAATTTTCCGACGGAAAAGATTTCGTCGAAATATACCTCTTCCGTCAGGAAATTTCCATCGGAAAAGTTTGTTTTTTTTTAAAAAAAAAAAAAAACAGCCCAACCCACCACCCCCACCACCAGCCCACCCACTGCCCCCCTACCCACCTATACCCCTACCAGCCCACCCCCTACCCTCAACCTCAGATCACCACCGCCATTATCCCCACATCAGACCACCGAAACCCCCACAACCCAGATCCACCCACAAAACCCCCACAACCCAGATCCCCACCCACGAAACCCCCCTAACCCACCCCTACCAAAACCCCACCCACACCAAACCGAAACCACCCAGCACCAAACTCACACCAGCCCCTACCCCACCACCACCGACACCACCACACACCACCACCATTCCAGAAATTCCGTCAAAATCGAAATTAACCCAAAAAAACCTAAAATAAAAAGGAAAATCAACCCCAAAATACCGAAAATTAACCTCAAATTACGAAAATTAACACAACATAATCAAAAAATACCACACAAAAAAAATCAAAACTAGTAGATCTACATATTTTGTTGCGGTTGTGCGTGGCTGTTGAGAGGAGAGAGAAAGATAAAAGGGAAAAAGGAGAAGTAGTGTGGGCTGTGTAGTGGTGGTGTGAGAAGGAGAAGAGAGGAGAAGTGAGAAGGAGAACAGAAATGACGGAGGAGAAAGAAGGAGAGAGGAGAGGAGTTCACAGAGAAAGAGAAGAGGAAAGAGAGGAGAGAGAAAGAGAAGAGGAGAGGAGAGGAGAGAGAAAAGAGAAATGAAGGGGAGAGGGTGTTCCGGTTTTTTTAGGGTTAGGTGTTTTTCATTTATTTTTTTTGTTTTATTTGTTCCGACGGAATATTCCGCCAGAAGATGTAAATTTCGAGGGGAAAAAAATCCGTCGGAATATTTTCGAGGGATTTTTCGTCGTAATTTACCTTTTCCGACGGAATTTTTTGACAAACCCAAATTCCGTCGGAAATTTCGAAATTCCGACGGAATTTAAGTCCGTCGGAGTGTTTCCGTCGGAATCCGGCCTATTTCTTGTAGTGCTCTCAGTTTATGTAAGTTAGTATAATCTTGCTTTAATTTCATTTCAATAATTAATCTAGTTTTGGTACTTATTAATATGCAATTTGCACTGGATGAGACGGATTGCTCGAGCCATTGAGGGTTGCATCGATTGTCATCCACGTGTTGTTGAAGAGCTGAAAGAATGGGATGAGTATGCTGGATGATTATGTTTCATTGATGCACTTTATGCTTTGTACTTGATGATTTGCTACTATTTTATGTTTTAGATTATGTTATGTAATTGATGGACTTGACTATGTTATATTACTTTTAGATAATTTTATGTGCTAGTCTTTAGGGTTTTTTTATTTTTTATTTATTTATTTTTTTTAATGGCTAAATTGTTAAGCAACTTCTACACAGTACATAAGCATTTTGTAACACCAACGAGTTCCAAAAAAGGCATTTTGTATCTGTTTGTCTTGTAACTTGAATCAAAGCTAATGACCCATGGATACGTGTGTAAGAACGCTAGCGACGTAGGATGTGACATGAATACATGGGTCAAAACATTCGTATCCGGGTCAACCAAGCTCCAATGTGTATACTGCGACTCGATACCAAGTTCAAGGAAATATGTAAAAACAGCTCTACCATTAGCTTCTTCAAGTCTTAACCGATCCCTAAAGTTGTAAATGTGTCTACGATTGGGATGGTCATCAGGAAACTGCTTCTGCACAGCCGCTAAGATATTTGTAGCTTCACTTTTGCATCAGTCAGGTCACGAACAAGTTGCTTTGCACCCGGACTAAGCTTACTCATTTGTCGATTGCCTTCTTCATAGACAATTAGCTCGTGATTGTGTTTACCATATGCATCGGGTCTCAAGTCAATCTGCCACCCTTCCTCATCATAAACAAAAACTTGCAACTGCAATATTGAGTTTTTGTGTTCTGGCATTGCGCAACACTCAGATCTCTATTTTTCCCTCTATCTCTAGTACCACGATTGCATCGCAAATATAACCATCCGTTATGGTTGTATGTATGCACAATTTGAAACTTGAGTGTTATTGCAATGTCTTTCACCTATCGTGACAATTCTTGGTACGTTGGAAATAATTGGTCGGTCTGAAGGTGTGGGTAATAATTTACCCCATCGCCATCAAAATCTTCAATCGGATCCTATTAAAAAAAAATAAAAAAATACAAAGTTAACATTTTTATTTTATTTATTTTTTTATTTTTTATTTTTTACATTTAAAATATTAAGTACATGATATAACAAAAATTATACTTAAAATTAAATTCATTAGAAAACAACAAATAAAATTAAAAAAATCATCAAAAATTTACTAATAAATTAAATGTATTTTTTTTTTATTTTTAAGTAGTATTTTTAAAAAATTTAAACGGTACACGACCGCATGTAATATGCAACTATACCATGGTATAGTCGCCTGTAATATGCAATTGTACCTTGGTATAATCGCATATTACATGCAACTATACCATGGTATAGTCGCCTGTGTACATTGGTACAGTCGCATGTAATACGCAACTATACCATGGTGCAGTTGCATATTACATGCGGTCACGCCATGGTATTGTTGCGTATTATATGCGACCGGATACATCGAAAATTGAAAAAAAAAGGTTCGGCATGCCTGACTCGAGGCGTCGAAGGTTCGTCGTCCCCACCAAGTGCCTCCGATATGAACGCGGACCGTCGTCGACTCATTTTAGTAGTCGGAAAGTACAATGTTGGTGGTCAACCGTCGTGAAATCGATCAAGCTGGTTGTCAAGGTGGAGTCGTGGTGGTGGATGGTCAAGGTTAGTGGTGATATGGGTGGTGGAGCTGATGGTCAAGGTGGAGCCATGGCTTGAGTAAGGTCAAGTTGACAATGATATTAAGGTGGTGGGACAAAGTTAGTAGTGGTTGGATTATTATGTCATTTTCAAACTTAAAAGGGGCATGAAGGTCATTTAATACCCTACCTTGAGTAATTTCATTGTGGCAAATAGCAATTCACTTTTAAAAAATCCAAAGGTAGTAGTATAGATCCAGGAAAGTAAATCATGATCACACAACAACAATTTCTATAGAAGTAGAAAATATCGTCAATTTTATATATATACATAGTATAAAAGTTGACACTTATTAAAATAAATTTTACAACTAATAAAGCAGTAGTTACATAAACACGTGCTTTGCAAATTAATTTTTGGAAATGTATACACGATACTTTACGCAAAAAAAAAAAAAAAAAAAAAAAAAAAAAAAAATAAGGACAAAAGTGCAAATGTAAAACAAAATATAATTACAATTTTACAGACTTATA